CTCCTCCACGAATCAGGTCCAGTGCGCATTTGAGTTTAGCGACGTTACAGTTGTGGTCAAGTAAAAGATTCTGGTATCACCTCTTCCTATCCCCTTGACCCGCCTTAAGCTAATAAAGAAATAAATGCCAACTTGATCAAAATATGCAGCGCTACTGGTCTGGATGTATTCTTTTCTTTTCTTCCTATTTCCCCGTGCCAACTTATACCTCGTACACGTCTAGTCCTCACACCGGATTACTCTATTAACTGTTTAGCGTCTATTGTTTTCGGTAAAACCCTACTGGCAGAAACCAAACCCAAATTAGCTCTTTTCTTCCTCAAATCACTGCGTGACTTAGTTACCTACTAACTCTAATTAGACAGCGTTAATGGTCTGGTTGTTTCCTATTTTTCAGTGAACTTATGCCTCGTCCTAGTCCAGTCCCCACCCCGGATCACTCTATCAGCTCTGTCAAGTAACTGGTGTTCACAGCTTAACTCTAACTGAAAAAGGCCAAACCAAGGTCGGTTTTTTTCTTCATCTTATTATCAGAGCGCATTCTGCGCTCATATATATATATATCCAGTTGATGATTAGCCCCACGAAACTCTCCCACACACAAAATCGCGGAACGCTTCTCCTCGGCATGGCAGCCCACACCAACGCTCCGAGGCCGTTTAGCCATAGTGCAATCGCCACGAGTATCAAAATCCCAGTCCCACCATCTCATTGACAACTGCCATTTCACTTCTTCTCCGCGACTTGCCTCTACCTGCATCTGTATGCCGTTTGCCCGTTTGAATTGACCGAGCTGTCTTTACCGGTCTTACTTTCCCCCGACCAAAAAAAGGTAGCTGGAGTATTTAATAATGCACAAACCGCACTTATGGCTGCTTGGATGGTTTTCCACCTAGCAGATCTGGTAGCATGCACGAGGGAAGAAAACCGCGTGTGGTGGACGGGTACGCCCTGCAGGGAAGGTCGCCCTGTTACGTTGCACCATGGGGTGTTCGTATACCCGCCACCCCTCCAGTAGCACGGGTGCATCGCCCATCGCCGGTGGTTCCGAGTCTGGCCTTTAAATTCAGGAAATCAAAAAAGCACTGGTGACTTCTGTTTGTTGCTGGTGTTGGGCTCGCCTCGGTTGAGTTGTGCATCTGGCAATGCCATAAACCACAGATGAATAAACTGGCCTCTCGTCTGTGAAAAAAGGTTCACTTGGGATAGCCCAAAGATACTATGCAAGTGCCGATGACCTACATCGGCGAACATAGCTGTATCCGCCTTCGTCACAACAGATGCCACACCGCACCAAAGCCCATTTCGTCATCCAAACAGAGAATACATCTACTCACCGCTTTCAGTGATAGACACTGACTAGTGGTAGATACCTGCTATCCACCATCTACAGATTAGAGCTGATAGCAGTGCTTCGAAGTCTAGTGACTATTTCTCTTGTACACACTTTCTCTCCTAGTATAAACCAACTCATGTAATAAACACCAGGTAAGCCAGCTATTTTAGAAGTCCACTCCCGCCACCCTTTATGCATCTGATTCCCATACCACACCTCTGCGCGCTTTTATCGGCTTTTACTAAACCCCTTGCAATGTAATATCTTACGCTAGCAAACTCAATCTTTGGTCGTTAGCCTCCTAAGTACAAATTTATCTATATCCCACTCCATATAATCACTTGCCATCGTCCTAATTGCAACAGGCGTCAAGTTTTTTCCCCTGTGTTTATTAACGCATAGTGTTCCATTCTATACCCCCACAAATTCACCATGTTGTGCGAATCTCCTCCCATCCCA